TCCTGGATTTTTCATTAAAAATTTAGATATTTTCAATTAAAAAAAAAATTGTTTTTCTTTAAAACAGGATAATGAAATAAGCAAAATTATAGAGCAAAAAAAGCTCTACAAAAACTATGTCAGACAATAATTGTTATCATATTCTGATAAGAGCCATTTCCATATGATAGTCTAATGCTTTGAACCTAAATATTTGATCATACCCCTTCGATATTCCACATAGAAAAAATTCTTAAAATTGAACAGGAACCAATCTGATTTATACACCATTAGATGTAACTTTTCAAGCTCTACAAAACCCTGTATTTTGTTTTTCGAAATGAATAAGTTGAGAAATCCGGCAGGGTCCTTTGATTAAGTTTAGGAACTTTTTTTCTTTCTTGGTATTATTAATTAAAGGTAATAATGCACCATTAACCGGTTCTGACAGAAATCATAACTATTTTATCGACAGATCAATCAAATCAAAAAGAAAGCTGTTAGGGTAATCCCCCGCGGAATTAAAGATGTGAAACACGATGGATCTGTTGTTACTTATTAAATGGAAATTGTTTTGTTCCGTTTCTTTGAAATACTTTTGTGGGTAACCCGTTTATCTAATACTTTAGAACTACAGTTTCTCTGTCACGGTCTATGATGAATCCAAAATCTGTCTGTTGCAGTCTATGAGGGTGTGGGTGTGGGGTGTGGGGTGCGGGTGGGTGTGGGTGTGGGGTGCGGGTGGGTGTGGGTGTGGGGTGCCGGTGGGTGTGGGTGTGGGGTGCGGGTGGGTGTGGGTGTGGGTATGTATAGGGAGATTACTGACGCCCACACCCACACCCACACCCACACCCACACCCACACCCACACCCACACCCACACCCACATGCACCCACACCCAAACCCAAACCCACACCCACACCTACACCCACACCTACACCCACACCCACACCCACACCCACCCACACCCAGCAACCACACCCACCCACACCCACACCTACACCCTGAGGTGGCCAATAATTTAGCTATAATGTATCTCAATGGTACTGGTATTGAATAGAATCTAGGAAAAGCCAAATAATTATTTGAATTATCTGCAAGACGAGGTGATCCAAAAGCTATGATGAATTTAGCCGATGTTTTATTGGCAATAAACGAACTTGAAATAGCCAGAACTTGGTTTGATCGCGCATGTGAAGCAGGTAATCTTTATGCTCAAGCACAACGAAATGAATTTGAATCACGTCTACGTCAAAAACAGCAAACAAATGTAAACTCTTCACATAATTTTTCACAAACTATGAAAGAAGTAAATATTTTTTCTGATTTCATCCAAGCAATTACGATGATGGATAGCCTTTCCCATAAATCAAGCATCTATGATCTCAATACACTCATTGAACATGCGGAACGTGGTTCACAGACAGCTGAAAAACTATCCAATGCTCTACGACATTGTAATGTTGCATTAAATATCCTAATGCAATCCGAATCATTATCGAATGAACAAGAAACTTTATTTATACATGAATTTGCGCAATGCTGTCGCATCGAACATATTGCTGCTGAAATTCCAAGTATAGAAATCGAAAAAAGAATTATACGTATCATTGATCGAGTATTTGATCGTTGCAGTTATGATTCAAATATTGTTAATTCACAGTTAGATGAAGATGTTCGAGTGTGTTATGTTGTCTTACATATGGATGAACCCGAATTAAATCTTCGATTTCTCGATTCATGCAAGCAAAATTATCCGAAATCGCTCATTTTTCACGAATTTCATGCTGCTATGAACGTTCTATTAGGACGCTTTGAAGAAGCTTTAAATGATGCCCACGCTGGTTTGAAAATAGATCCAAATTATTACGAACTTTTATTCATCAAAGCTAGTCTGTTCGTGTGCCTGAGGAAAAAAATGAACGAAGTCATCGAAGCATATCAAGAATTTCTGGCTGTTGCACCAAAAGATCATTGCAGAGTGCCTGAATCATACTATTCGATGGCTAGCTACTATTTAGCATGTACCGAAGATGATAATGCCATACGTTTAATTAAGGAATTATATCAGCAAGGTGAGGAAGCAGAAAAAATACAATTACCATGCTTTTTGCCTTATGAATCGGAGAAAAAAATGAGGGTGTGGGTGTGGTTGCGTGCATGGGTTTCGGGGTTCGGCTGTTGGTTGGAGTTTAGTTTTTTCTTACACCCACACCCACACCCACACCCCGCACCCCGCACCCACACCCACACCCACATCCATACACACACCCACACCCTCAATATGTCAAAACTCGAAATGTTCTCTTATAATCAGTTTATCTCTATGACCAGTTATAAACGAACATTTTGAATCATGTAATACATGAGAAGTTTCTCTTGAAAAAAAAATTGTTCTTCAAGAAATATCTAGTTTTGGACACACCTGATATTCCACTAGCCAATGTGAAAAATTGAATGTTGTTTTTTAAAAGTTAAGCTTCTATCAAAAATCGATTCTCTTGATTCGTAATTTAAATCATAAATTAATCAAGATATCGTCATTCGATATTTTTTGAGTTTACATTATTTTTTGGAAGAAAACAAAACTTCTGAAATAAATAGACGAATAAATTTAAGAAAATCTAGAGATTGTGGGTATGTTTTTATTGTAAATCCACACTGACATTTGCACATCTATAATTGGATATTCTGCAATGTCTAATAAATCTGCAATATTCACTATGGGAATATTTTTATTGATACGTGATCAATTGCAAAAGAATGTTGGAAGTTTCTTGGAAGCTTTAATTATATGGGAACTGTCAGGGAGCCTTAACTACTTTGTAAAACTTGATCAATACACTGTACACAATACTCCGAATTTTGCTGAAGATGATCTTTGAACAAGATCGAAACGTGTCCTCAGTAAAAGCTTGATTTCTCAATAGATTCAATCATGACCACATCGGCATCCAATGTGACTAGTTATGAGTCACAGTAGCATTTTCTGATGCAAATAAGTTGTCTTAAAGTCTTCACATGCAGTTAAATGTATCGAATAAATATCGAGTGATGAATAAAAATTTCCTACCACTTTCCTGTAGTGAACAAGTTAAGAATATTTTGAAAAGCATGAGAAGATGTCATGCTGGTTTTTTCTTGTTCGTAGAATAAAGCTAGCACTACTCTTATCATAGGTGAATGTTGGTCTTCTCTTTCAAGATGATTTGTTACTATTCTTTAGAGACAAAATAAAATAAATGGATTTAATCTGTGACTTCTTATATAAAGGGTGATCCATAAGTCTTAGGCCCTCTCAGAAAAAATTGTTGTTTTCTATTTATTACGAATTCAAA